GTGTGTGTGTGTGTGTGTGTGTGTGTGTGTGTGTGTGTGTGTGTGTGTGTAAAAATATTTTAAATTAAAGTTTTTTATTATTAATAATTTTGTTAATTAAAATATATTATTGGTAGATGATTGGTAGATCTCACTTCAGAATTGTGGGTGTAAGATTATTCACATTATTACAAACTTTTATTTAAAAAATAATTAAACATTTTAAATATTGTAAATGTAACAAAATATTTTATATAAAAATATTAAGTATTAAAATGTTATAATAAAATATACAATATGTTGTGTAAATAGTTCTTCACTGATATGTGTTAATGTTTTTTTTATTAAAATATTAAAATTATTGGTAGATAGTTGGCAGATCTCGCTTCAAAATTATGGGTAGTTCTTTAAATAAGAATTTAGAGCATTTAAACACAATTTTGGACTTCTACGCTGCAAAACTGATTTTCTTAGTATTGTTGTCTTGTTTTCTAGTATAAATATCTAAACATTTTTGAATCAAGATACATTTACTTGAGAAGCAAAATGACTTAAGGTATTAAGTCTTGTTTTCTGAAAATGTATCAACATTTTGTTAGTTTTTGCTTTAAACAAAAACAAATATCTGCCAATGGAGTCAGAAAAATAATCTTAATTCAAAGGGAAAACAATACGATTTTTCTGACCCCACTGACAGATATTAGTTGTTGTAAATATCACTTAATCTCAGAGCTAACGGTCAATCTGTCTTGAAAGATTTATTGTTACCGATGAAAATCACTTGCTCTTCTGGAAGCTGAGTGTTGGGCTGCTGTGTCTGATAGCGCTGTCTCGTCTCTCAGGATTCTGGATGTCCAGCCGAACCGTCTGTCTGTTGGGGGCGTTCGGTCGATTGAAGCCCTCCTGCATCGTCGAGGTCAGGTGGCCACTCATGACTTTGTAGGGTGCATCATGGAGTTTGCTGTCAATGGACGTCCGCTGGAACCGTCTCAAGCTCTGGCTTCACACGGCATTCTGGACAGGTCTGTCACCGAACACACAAACACAAAACACAATCGTGTCACTGAACGACAGCTCATTCGGCTCTCTGGATGTCTGTGAATGCAAAATTAAAGCTGGCTCCAGCTGGTGTGAATTTTCTGGAGCAGGTTGAATAGTGTTGATTTTATTTCAGGTGACTGATGCTTTGAAATTAATGCAGCTCTTTTGCATTTATGCTAATGTTGGAGTCATGGACTCTTATGTCGCTGAGATGTTCCCCGCTGAAGGTTTTGTGCGTCTTTCGTCCACAGATGCCCCAGGTTAGAGGGTGCGTGTGTCGCCGAGCCCTGCAGACACGGTGGGACGTGTCTGGACATGTGGTCATGGCAGCAGTGCCAGTGTACTGAGGGTTTCACTGGACCCACCTGTGAGAAATGTGAGTTTTTGCAGTCTGTAATGATTAAATCTAATATTTTATTAACCATTGGTTATTCATGCATTGGTCAATTAGAGATTTTGGGCTATGTCTTCAGTCAGTTGGAAAGGAAATACATAAAATACACATTTAAGTGTTTATTTTATTGCACTTTATCTATTTGCATCTGTAGATTTCAATTCCAATCCATATCTTTAAAAAGTTTTTTTTTTCACTTCAGCAGCACTTACATACACCAAAACTTAGAGTTTTATTCCTCTCTATATTCTGAAGGTTTTTACTGAGGGGTTTGTTCATATATCATTCACACTAATTTATACAACATTTTATTCCTAAAAACATGGTAAAAATGCATATCTTTAAAGGCTGAGAGTTTGTTTCTCCGCTTCAGCAGCACTTACACACACCAAAACATAGAGTTTTATTCCTATCTATATTCTGAAGGTTTTTACTGAGGGGTTTGTTCATATTTCATTCACACTGATTTATATAACATTTTATGTCTCAAAACATATTGAAAATGTTTGTTTTCTGTGTGTTGACAGTATTTTCTGATTTATGGAGTGATAAAAAGAGAAATCCACAATCCCCTCTGGAAAAACCTTTAACTCTAATATTTAAACAGAATCAAACAAATTTTGAACCTGGCTTTATCCACATTTCTGTTCTGGAAATGTATGCAAATGAATGCATATTTAATTTGGACAGTGCCTTCATTTGCATATTTAAGTGTAACATTATGAAAACTTGTAATAAAAAGTTTTTGGGAAAACAATTTGACCTTATTCACCTGTTGTGTCAGTAATACTTTGAAAAGTATGACTCCACCAAAATATAAATGCACTTAATAATGTGTTTTCCATTTGCCAGAGCAACAAAAGAGGCATGACATGAGAACCAACCAGTCAAAAGCATGTTGTTTGGTTTCTATATGTGCTGCTGAAATCGCATTGGTCCAAATTCCTGGTCTTCAAAACAGTGTATTAAACACCAAATATTTTACGTGAGAGTTAAGAATGGTCATTTTTTCACATTCACTGTGTGTGCTTCTCTCAGACATCACCGCAGATACAGCTCTATCTCTGGACGGTTCGGGTCGTTTGGACTACGGTTTGAGTCAGAGCCGCAAGAGAGATGTGTTGTTGGCACGAGCGCTGCAGGACCCCGGCAGACCCATCCCGGAATACAGCAGCCTGGAGCTGAAGTTCCGCACGCGCAGCGGCTCTGGAACGCTGCTGCACGCACAGGAGAGCTCCAACTACACAACCATCAGGGTAAGTGTGTGTGTGTGTGTGTGTGTGTGTGGCTCCAGCTCCGGGCTCACGGCCAACCGCCTGAACTCGCTCCCCCTGGCCTCTCCATCCACTGCAGCTGCTGACAGGACATCCCCTAACTAGTGAGGCCGCAGAGAGCTACTACTCAAAAACGCACAAACACATTCACAGTATCTCACAGCACAGTGTCGCACATCTCAGATTTGTTCTTTGTTCAAGATGGATTTTCCAATTCCAGATTTTGTAGGTCTGTAAATAATTTTTTCTTCTCCACTGCAGTTATTTTCTGTTGCCCCTTGTTTTTCCCAAACAAGATTGTTTTTCCATTTCAGTAATGAAACATTCAGATTAGCACATGCATTACATAACTCTGTTACAAAATCTAGTGAGCTGCCTACTTAGACAGCATGTCCAAGCATGCACAAGCTTCAGTCTGAATCCAGCCCTTACAAAGACCTGAGATGACCGAACACCAGAGAAGAGATGATGCCAACCCCTCAGAGGACCTCAGATGATGCCAACCCTGAAACAACATACAGAACTACCACATTTTGTACATTTCTGCCATATGTACATCAATTTGACAGTCACCACTGACAAGCTACTACTAAATATATTGTAGAAACTTAATTTCCTGTAAAGCTGCTTTGCAACGATTTGTATCATGAAAAGCGCTATACAAATAAACTTGAATTGAATTGAATGTCCCAATTTTGGCAAAGTTTTGGCAATGTATTACTTAGTCATTTGAATTTAACTGAAATGTTAAGGTATCATAGATGCACTTCAGATGCTATATATTATTATTACATAATATTATAGTATTTATTTATGTTTAAAATATGCTTTTATTTTTATATATTCAGTTTTCATTTTTAAGTTTAGTTTAAGTGTTATTAATTTTGTTATGCTCTGTCATTTATCTTTTATTATTCTTATTAAACTTTATTCTTCAGTTGTAGTAATTTTAGAACTTCAACCTATTTTAGTTATTAAGTTTAGTTTAAGTGCTAATACTTTTTGCCATGTGCTTTTGACATTTTTATTATTTTTAATATTCTAATTTTAATAAAAATGTAAAAGAAAGTTATTTTAGAACTTTACCGTAGGCTCAAGATGACGACACGTGACGTTCTACTCGGAGATGCTCACGTCCTCGGACTCGGAATTATGCATTTCTATGGCAACACTATCAACTCCTAAACATAGTGCTTAAATGAATCTGCTGTGGTCAGGTGGTACAAGTCGTAGCTCTCAGAAAACTCATAGCCTACAAGCTGTAATTATGAGCTCTACGAGAACGTGAAGCGTTTTACAAGTTGAAATCTTGTAATTGCAGTAATTCCAACATGGCGTGAACGCAGCATTTCTTCAGTTATTACATTTAGTTTAGGTGTTAATAATTTTCATTTGTCCTTTTGTAATTTATATTATTTTTTTATATTTCTATTTAACTTTAATTTATTTTCCAGTTTTAGTCATTTTAGAACTTACTTCAGTCAGATGCCAAGGAAGCATTTTCAAGTTAAATTTTTCCATCAGATATTTAATTTCAGCTTTATTTCAGTTACCGAATATGTTTTAGTAGTTGTAGTTTACAATTACAATACTGCTTGGTAAGACTGCTTATTTTTGTCAAATAAGTTAGCATTGCATGTGTCTTTTACTGAGAAGGCAATCCCAGAATGCACTTGGGGGGGGGGGGGGGACGACAAACAAACTTGCAGACAAATAAAAATACATAATAAAAATATTTATCTAATTAAACTAGAGTTTGGAACAGAGCTGATATGAGTCTTTTAACATTGTAGAAATGCTGCAAGATGCAATGCGTCATACTACAGGTTAGATCCTGCATTATATTTGAAATGCTTACATCACATTCATTAATCTTCTCTCTCTCTGTCTCAGTTGAAGAACGGTCTGCTGCAGTACGTGTCTGACGCTGGTGTCGCCGGTAAGGTGGAGAGGATTGTGGGAGATGTTGTTTTGTCTGACGGTCAGTGGCACATACTCCTGCTTCAGAGAAACGGATCATCCACCATTCTGCGGATCGACGAGTCCAGCTCGAGAGTCATTCTGCACAATACGCAGGACTTCGGAGGGATTGACGTGCACACGCTGTCTCTCGGGGGTGTCCCGACCCGATCAGCTCAACAGAAAACCAGCCCAGGTCAGTTCCATCAGTCCACGTTCTGTAAAACCTCTTATAATGATGGCTATAAGTATCATTATAGAGCTTAAGCCCAGACTACAATGCAAACATCCCGGTGGCATTTGCACTGCAAGCTGCTTCCAATAAAATATGTAAATATTTTAATCAACAGAAATGACACTGACAAAATTGCATGTTATGAACTAAACAATTTTACCATTGAGAAACGTCTGACTCGCAGGCAATGGATGTGTCATAGTTGGCGCGCTCATTCAGATTTTCTGCCCGAATCAAAACTTGGGAGTGTTTATCCTCTACGAGTGAAAGTGACAGGAGAAAGTTCAGAGAAAGTGTGCATGTTTGTGTGCTAACTGGGTTAGACAGCAGACTGCCAACAGGAAAGAATGTCTGAACTTTCTTCTGCAGGACCTGCACAGTGCAGCAATCCACAGAGCTGAACTATTGTCCATTAAAAACAGTCACTTGTAGACACTTCAGACTAGAGCACTGAAACAGAGAAAAGACACCGTGTAGCCTACAAAAAGACTGGAATCTTTATTAGAGCTCCAGACAGGCTGTTCGGTGAAGTCCCATAGGATAGGGAAAAAATCTTTAAAAATCTTTGTTTTTTTCTTAAGTCTCCTTCTCAGATGGTTTTCCTGAGAAAAGAATCAGTAATCTCACTCATGTCTGTAGTTTCAGAAAAGAGCTCAATGTTTCACACTGTGCTCAGATTTACCAAGATTCAAACACCATTCAGTATGAACATGATCTGAGCTGCTAGCCACATTACTTTTGTCAACTATTGACTAACTTTTGTCTGTATCAGATGTTTCTCCTGAAATTCCTTAGGTGAAATAAAACAAAGTTGACGTTTAAATGAAACCTTACTGAGGAAAAGCAAAAAGATCACCAGCTGATGTTCATATATGGTAAAATTGAGCTGTTGGGTTGTAACCCACTCTTTACTGGCAAAAATCTAAATATCAGATGAAATTATCCAAACTATTTTAATGTAAACATGTTTTGTGCACGTAAGGTCATGCCATTTCTGGATTCGAGGTCTGGAAGTGGGAGAACATGAAATAGAATTGGGCCAATCTGTTTCGTCCTTCTAATAAACAGAACCAAATGTTCTGTGTTTGAATGGGGCATAAATTCAATAAACATCGATTTACATTGACGGTTCGTCGTTAGGCAACATGATAGTGCAGGTCTGAATCAGTGACATTAAGATTTTTCCCAGATGGCGTGGTCTTAAAAGGTTGCATTTTTGGTTTGCAGGATACTTGCTGAAGAGAAGAGTCTGTTTCTTTTCCTCCTGATGTAAAAGCAACGATTTGTTGATGTGTTTCCCAGGGGGAGAATTTTGTTCTACGTTGGCTGATGCTACAGCGATCAGAAACCCAAACAAAATGTCTCCCTGTGTAGCGTTAAACTAAGCAATATCCATTTCTTCCAGTCAGTCTCATTTCTTTGTCATGTTGGGGAAGCTCTAGTCTCTCATGTAGCCAAACAATTGACTTGCAGTGTACATTTTGTTGCAGTTTGCAGCTTTTGTCCAAAAATCCAACCATTTAAGACTAACTAACAAACTGTGACTGATTACTTTTTATCCGCCTTTTAGGAGCGGGTACATCTAAAAATAGTACTCAACCATTTCTGAGTAGATTTGAGTTAATATTCCTCTTTCTGTGTTTCTAGGTTTTGATGGGTGTTACGCCTATGTGAAATATAACGGAGGGATGCTCCCTTTCAGCGGTGAACACAGGACCGTCTCCATTTCCAAGACTGATCCCTCTGTGAAGATCGGCTGTCGTGGCCCAAATCTATGTGAGAGCAGCCCCTGCTGGGACGGGCTGATGTGTGTGAACCAGTGGTACACCTACCAATGTCTCCCACCAGGTGACTGCGCCTCGAACCCCTGCCAGCACGGCGGCAGCTGCGTGCCCGGCGCTCGTGGAGGCTTCACCTGTGCATGTGAGGAGTTCTACACGGGCAGAGTCTGCGAGAGCCTGGTGGCCTGTTTGGGAGTCCGGTGTCCACAGGGTACGGAGTGTAAGCTGGGAGCCAACGGTGGGTTCACCTGTAGTCCGAGCGCCACCACCGAGGAGATGGTTCTGCCCATCTGGGCAGTTCCTGCAATTGTGGGCAGCTGCGCGACTGTCTTGGCGTTGGTGGTTTTGAGTCTCATACTATGCAACCACTGCAAGGGTCGCAAGAAAACCAAAGTGCCAAAGGATGAGAAGAAAACAAAGGAGAAGAAGGAGAAAAAGAAAGGCAGCGAGAATGTGGCATTCCATGATCCGGACAACATTCCGCCTTACGAAGATGACATGACAGTCCGGAAACAGCCAGAGGGAAACCCCAAACCTGACATTATAGAGCGGGAGAATCCCTACCTGATCTATGACGAAACTGACATTGCACACAACAATGAAACCATTCCCAGCGCCCCCTGTGCTCCATGTGCAGGACCAGAAGCAGACATGGAACACTACGACATTGACAATGCCAGCAGCATTGCTCCATCAGATGCCGACATCATCCAGCACTACAAACACTTCCGTAGCCACACTCCCAAGTTTTCCATTCAGCGCCACAGTCCGTTGGGATTTGCCCGCCAGTCCCCTCTTCCACTAGGTGCCACCAGCTACACCTACCAGCCGACCTACACCCAGGGGCTCCGCTCCACACCCCTCAGCCATTCAGCTTGCCCCACACCCAATCCCCTGTCACGCCACAGCCCAGCACCCTTCACCAAGCCATCCTCCTTCTACCGCAACACTCCCACCCGTGAACTCAACTTGGCACGCCGTGAGGGCAGCCCTCTCGATTTCCACGGCGATGTGTGCCAGCCTGGTATGTTCAACTACGCCACCCGATTGGGTAGGCGCAGCAAGAGCCCTCAGACCATGGCGGGCCATGGCTCTCGGCCTGGGAGTCGTCTCAAGCAGCCAATCGAGCAGATTCCATTGGAGAGCGGCCCACCTGTGGGGTTGTCCATAGAGGAGGTGGAACGCCTCAACACATCTCGACCCAGGAATCCCAGCATCTGCAGCGCCGATCACGGGCGCTCGTCATCTGAGGAAGACTGCCGTCGACCACTCTCACGTGTCCGGAACCCTGCGGATGGCATCCCTGCTCCGGAATCCTCCTCCGAGAGCGACTCCCATGACTCCTTCACCTGCTCGGAGATGGAGTACGACCGCGAGAAACCAGTTTCTTACAGTTCTCGCATGCCCAAGCTCTCGCAGGTCAACGAGTCGGACGCCGATGACGAGGACCACGGAGGGAGGCTGCGACAGAGGCGATACTCCAGTCGACGTGCGGAGGGTGGGCCTGCCAGTGGCCACAACACCCTATCGGAGTATCATCACCACACTTTACCCCACAAGCTGGGCCAAGGGTCCAACAACTTCAACTGGGACAACCTACTGAACTGGGGTCCGGGGTTCACCCACTACGTAGACGTTTTTAAAGACTTAGCACTGCTACCCGAGAACTCTGCTGCTAAAGACATCGAAATGAAGAGCGGTGACGGCTCCATCACAATTCTGAATGAGGGCGAAGCCGAGCAGTACGTATGAGGAGCACTGAGTCCTCATCTCTTCGCCCTCTAAGACTGGAGTCAGGAGCCATTGCGAAACAAATGAAATACGGATTAATTTCTGATATTTGATTAAGACGAACTTAAATGCAGCAAGGCAGAGCACTGATTCAAAAGACAAGCACCAAACACCCTTCGCAGAGTGCAATAAAGAAACAAACTAGGGCAGGGATCCTCAAATCTGGCCCACGGGATCCACTTTCCTGCAGAGTTTAGCTCTAACCCTAATCAAACACACCTGAGCATGCTAATCAATGTCTTCAGGATCATTAGAAAATCACAGGTAGGTGAGTTTGATCAGGGTTGGAGCTAAACTCTGCAGCGCATTGGCCCTCCAAGGCAAGATTTGAGGAACCCTGCACTAGGGGTTGCACAGACTAGTCGTTTCGTTTTGCCATTAGTTGATGTGTTGGATTGACTAGTCGTGGATTAAGCAATGGTGCATCCCAGTGTATTTGCATGCCATTATCTTTGTACAGTATTGGCCAATTATATTTGTAATTTAGTGAACCTAGAGCACTTTGCGCTCACAAAGCACATTGTAAATGAACCCCACTGGTGCTGTGTAATGACTAAGGTTGTCTGAGTGTTGCATTTACCAGCAGCAGCAGACCGCTGATGCTGGATACCATATTATGAGTCACTTATGTTAAGATAAACAGTAATCCACATGTAAACGAATAGTTGTGCAACCTCTTCCAACAAACACACCAACAACACAAAGTCTGGAAGAGGAAGCTGGGAGAGGTGCGGCACTACCATGAACACACATACGAAGTGAATCAGTTCTAGTCCATCTGTCTGTTCTGACTGAGTTCAGAGTGCTAAAATAAAGTTGGTCATAATGAAGGGTCGTTGTGACCCTCCAGCGCTGCAGCCCTGGAGTCTGGGCTCCGTCCATTTGGCTGATTTTCCTGTGTGTTAGTGCCTCGACCTCTAGGAAGCACATCCATGAGCTCGGTGTGAAGAGCAGGGCCATATTTGGCTCCGGTTCTGCACACTCCAGCCAAAATAGAAAGAAAAGCTCTGGAACCGTCCGCCAAGAACGGGTGTTTCTCATCCTGAATAACCGGCTGCCGTCTAAAACAACAAAACCTCCAGATATGAGATTAATGAGGCCTCTGCCTTCTGGATATTTGAGGATTTACATTTGGGAGAACGGACACTATGACTTTGAATGGTTATTTCTATTGGTGTATTGCAGGTTTCGTACAAACACGCTTGACCCGTCTAATGCAATGCACACCTGCTATGAGACTATGAACTTGTGTACATTTTGTATTAATGTGGAAGCTCTCGGAAGTCAATGTTCTCTGTTGTTATGCGTTTTTTGTTGTCATTTTATTTTGTTCAGTGTTTTTAAAATGTACTGTTTCTACTTTTTTACTGTTTATTAACTTAAAGGTTCATTTTTATGGATATTTTTCATATGCTGGAAATGAGGTTCTTACTTTCAGCGGAAGTAAGATTGAACTTCTTTTTTTTTACATTTGTTACTTATGTAACATCAGTATTTTCCACTATTTTGATAAAACTATAACATAATGTCTGATTTATACGTGTAAAAGCCAATAACAGAATAAAAAAAATATTTATTTAAAAAAGTCAATTTCGGTTTTGATGTGATGAGACTAAACTGACTGAAAGGAAGTTACTAAGAGAATTTTTTAAAAAAGCTTCAATGCATTTAACCAGGAACAGCTCTTTTTGTAGACAAAGGAATTGACATGAACAGAATAAAATATTTAATAGCTGTGAGAGTTTGGATGAAAACGAGCCCTGATGCAGGACAGAAAAACCCAGTGTGACTTTAAAAAGAATCACTGTAATAGTAGTATTTAATTAAAAGGTGACACATAACAGTCTGAGTAGCACATTTCACTGTAAAATGAGTATAGTTTTAATGAATCTGTCAGTGTAGCTTGACAAAGAGGCTGTTCAAAAAGAACCGACACTTTAAATTATAGAAGGGAGGTTCAAATGTCTGAGTGACAATTTCTCCCAAAATTCTGGCAAATGTAGCTTTAACACTCTTAAAAGTTAGGATATGTCAAACTAAAAGAAACACATTTAAAGCTAATTATGATTTAAAACTAGACTTGAAGAATCAGCCAGAACGAGCAAAAGATCTGCGTTGCTGAACCCTCCATGAGCGACGGCGCTCCTGAGGGATTTTGCTCTCTGCTGTTGTTTACTAAAGCAACACACAGCTGATTTTGCACAAACTTACAGGAAACGACTGTGAATAAACAATCACACATTCTATAAACCAGCGTGTCACTGATGCTGCGGAGACGCCAACACTGCGGTTTTGGGCTACTTTAAAACTGTTGCTGCGAGTGGATTTTTTTCCTGTGGTTTGAAGTTTTTTAACAATCACACATATTTGATCAGACTTACAGTATATAACCTACACAAGCATGACTTTCATGATCATTTAAATCAATTTCCAAATAGGTGGTCGCATTGATTTTTGAAAAGTTTGGTTTTTATTTTTGATGCTTCTGCAACACACAATAATTTGAAAAAATGCTTCATTTACATTCACTTAAATGTCCCCTGAAATGCTTAGAAACATCAATGGAAAGCATATTTACACTGAATCGTTCCCTGTCCCCTATGTAGTGCACTACGTGCCATTCACTGTACAGAAAATACTAATTCTGTGGACAAGTGACCGATTTCAGCCGCGGCTTCAGCGTCTATTTTATAGTGTAGGGGGTGGGGCTTCTGATTCTAGAGAGCATTTGATTGGACAGAAAGTTTGATGAGAAGCTGAAGTACGATGTGACGTCAAAAAAATCGTTGAGCCGTTTTGGCGGAAGTGACGAACTGCAAGCTTTGAATGCTTATATCTTCTAAATGCAAATTTTGTCACTGTTTTGGAGCACACTGCCTTATAAATAACCTTAAGACTAACATATTGATACTAACACCCAAAAAACTTTAATTTTGATTTCATGGGGACTTTAATGAATCAAACCGATTGACAGGTCTGATCAACTATCTGAAGTGTTTAAATCGGATTAAAATTATTTCACAAAACCCATCTTCCGTAACGACAAACATCATGAAAACGTATTGCTCATTAACTGTGAGAACCCTGTTAAAACTTCCCGTCAGAAGCAGCCTGATGGAGTTTAATAAGCTAAACGGTAAATTCAGTTGGATGTTTTTACAAGAGAACATCTTTCAGGATGGTTTCAGAAGGTTATCTGACACTGTTTGTACACACCCTCAGTTCTCTCTGGAACGTTGTGAAGTTTGGATCCGTCTGATTCCCAAAATCCCATTCCAAACACGTCCCATCCAGCTCCTGTCCATATGTGTGAGGACACTTCTGAGGTCGTCTGTGTGCCATCTGTCAAACACATGGCATGCAATCAGCTGATTTTGTGCTTGAATGACATGATCAGAAGCATTTAGTTTTCTTTACATTATAAAATATATTTACATTATACGTATTTATGACAAAAAAAAAAAATCTCAGAAGTGCATTTTAAATGCTCTGAAGGCAACTGAACACCACTCATTCAAAATTACATTCACACTTTAGAGTCACAAAAAAAAGACATCAAACCTGTCATACGACTGTTTAAATGCCAGATTCAATTATCAGTAACTAAAGACTTGGATTTCCATCTGTTCCTCACATTAAAGACCTATTGGTTACTATTGATAAAGTGCTAATTGTCGGAGATTTTAACATTCACGTTGATAATACTGCCATATGTACATTAACTGACAGTCACCACTGATAAGCTACCACTAAATATTGTAGAAACTTAATTTCCTGTAAAGTTGCTTTGCAATGATTTGTATCGTGAAAAGCGCTATACAAATAAACTTGAATTGAATTGAATTAAAGCACATATGACTTCAGAAGGCCTTAATTATAGTTCATGCTCAACCAGCAACATGTGAACTGATGAAACGCAGCATTGAACTCCGTGTAGATTGCTTTGTATAAAAGCATCTGCAGCATAAATATAAAGATTTGTCTGCTGATTATTCTCACTCAAACGGGCCTAAGCTTTATGAGGGAAACCAAAAAGTTGAAAAATAGTTCTGAAGAATCATATCAGGCTCAAACAAAATAGAAAGAGTGGTGAAATTATATTAAAGCAGGGAGGAAAAGACAGAAAATAAGAGCTGATTTATGAGGAAAAGAATGTGAGAACCAATGTCTTCATCAACACTCCTCACAGAACTGAGCTTTATACTCAACAACAGCTGCTCCGTCAGCTGATTGGAGCACAGGGAGAGAGGGGCGGGGCTAATACTGATTGCCTCTCCTACACCAATCAGATGATCTAGAAATTATTCAAATATTAATTTAATTAGGTCACACACACACACACACACACACACACAAACAACTGCATTGTCATACATACTGACCAAAATATGTTGATAAAAATAACAACATATGCTGAGTCATAAATATTTATGGCTGCCACATATTTCAGATATATTCACACATGTAGATGTCACACACATCTTTAGCTACAGAAGTAACTTTCACAATAGTGTGTTTTGAAGATGTTCTGCCGCATCTTTCTCTCTCTCTCTTTAACATGCATTTGATTAGATCTGGATCCTGTGTGTGTGAGACATTCATAAACTGTCCTGTAACCCATGAGGAATCACCTGTAGAACTGCTGCAACTCTAAATGCTCAATACAAGCACACACAGATGCACTTGAAGGAGTTTTACTCTTTAAACATCCAGTGGTGGAATTAAATGACTCAAGTAAGAGTAAATAAGTGGTTTGCTTAAAAAAAAAACTCAAGTTACAAAGTACTTTAGTATTATGTTTCTATCTTTACCCAAAATCAGGTGGTGTGAGCATTATGGAGCATTAAACACTCTCATGCAATGTCTGTTTCACAAGTGAGACTCAGAAGTATTAAACTTATGACGTTCCAGGAAATCCCTCATATGGACGTGAGTCTTCTTGTTCTTGAATGGTTTAAAGTCATATTAAAATGCGCAAATAGGAATCAATAAGTGGAATCGAAGTTGTAATTTTAAGTATCCGATTCCAGCAAGGGTGCAGAATTTAGTAGAGACACTCGAGACATGTCCCTACCAACATCCAGCGACTACTAAAAAATGGTCTGCTGAGTTCCTGGTTCTATGAAGCCCAACATGGCCCTGCCCCCTTTGTTGCCTGTTTCCGGGGGTGGGGTTTATGTAAAT